TATATATATATATATATATATATATATATATATATATATATATATATATATATATATATATGTATATATGTGTATATATTTGTATATAGGTGTATATATATGTATATACAGTATGTGTACATAGATCGATAGATCAATCAATCAGGGATTAAGGGTTTTGCTCAGGAACCCATAACCCATAGTGGAGGCTGTGGGGATCGAACCAGGTACTTGCAGCCTTATCAGAGTACATACATAAATATATATGTATATATATGTATATATACCTTTGTGTGTGTCTCCCTTGTTATTTTAATCTCTCAGCTGAGTGTTTCAGATGAGCTGTGAGCAGAATAAGCATGTGTTTACTGCATAATTCAAGTGAGGAGAAATGCTAGCGTGGGATCGGTGAACCATTTGAGAATGGTCGCTCTGTTAGTTGTTCATTCAGCGCACAGAGACCTCACATTGTGTGTCAGGCCAGCGCCTGGGTTACTGCTATTGTCCATCCACACCTCCCTCTCGTTCTCCTGTGTAGCTCCGCACCAGAGATGGGGAAGAAAGTGGCTTTTCATCGATGGGTCAGTTGGAGCATGCACAGGAACTAAGTGGGGGTAGGCGGGGGGCAGTCAGCTGGCTGCAACGGCCATTTCCCAGCAACAGGCAACTGGCATGAATACTATAGAATGGCTCATTACCTCCAAGTACTGACATGAGAAAGTCTGTGAAGTGGACCGATAAAGATACTGTGATTATTAGCAAGTTTTAATGTTCCATTGGTCAGACTGCAACAATGACCCCATGTACTTTTCCTTGCTCACACAAGACATTTCTTTACAAGTAACTAGGACACCGTGCAAGCAGTACTTTACACAAGAAGGACTCATGCCCATTAAGAAAGAATCAATAAATTAATTAATAGATGAATCAGTTTCTTGCCTATACTCCTGCTCTTTAGAAATGAATCATTAAATTAATTTTCAGGTCACTTTACATGGCATACCAGAGTACTAAAAAAAATCATATTAAAATAATGCATATGACTAGTGTATTTGCATTATGTTCACACTGTAGAGGCCATACCATCAAGCAGATCACTAAATGCTGATCATTGAATTTGTGTATTTAAGGAAAAAAACAGGTTGGAGTAACTTCTTATTTCCATGTAATCCCATTCCATGTGCAGTAAAATCATTAAAAACCTGAATCAAATACACCAAAAATCATCAAAACATCAGAATTATCGCACAAAATCTTAAATATAATCAGCCAGATACACATGATAAACATCATGTTAATCTGTAATATAATTTTTTTTGTATGATGTCTACCTAGTGGAACCCCATATCTTATTCCTTCGCATGAGCAAACTGTAATTTCCGACAAGCTCCATCTCTCATTTCCTATTATGCGTGTTAATAATTGCTATGAAATCTGTGTTCCCATTATTAAACAACTCAGTGCAATATAAAGTTTATTATTGGTACAAGCTGGTCTGAGACAAGTTATTGCAATCAGTTGTATTTACACAAATAAAAAGGTTTTAGCCACATTAAATAATGGTCTTAACTTGACTTCATTGCTTCGTAACCTTCAATATAATTAACAAATGTCTAATTGACTGAATCGGTTTATTTGGATTTTAATGAATATATATTTCTGTGAGAAAATTTGATGTTTTTTATTTTATTTTATAACATTATGACAAGGTTTTTTAACCTCACTCATTGTTCATGTTTTGAGGATTAATGAGTTAATATTCTTTTAAGATACTGCTTGACCAAATGGTTTTAACTGTCTTTTTATTAGTACTTAGATAGGTTGTTTTTTTTTCTTCTGATGAGTGTTAAATATTGTAAAAAAGTACCGCAATTGAGAATTCCTTTAAATTAAATTCCACTCAGCGGTTTGCAGTGTAATGTTTACACTCTTCTGTTTTCTGGCCCTCCTTGGAACCAGTTTAAACCACATCAAGAAGGCTGGCCCTGGACTTTGAACACCTTAAGTCTGAAGCAATTGCAAAGATGATAGAACAGTTTGTCTCTGTTGAGAAGACGTCACCTTATTTCTACATACTTCCCTTTTTCCATTACTTGAAACATTTTTTCAAATTCAAGAGATGAACTTGTGCTGTGTCAACATTTACCAGAAACCTAAGACAAAAAAAAAAAATAAAAAGCAACAAAATTCTTGAATAAATATGTAGCAAAGGATCTGAGAAAGTCATATGTGTCTAAGGTCTGCATCAAAGATTTTATTTATTAATTTTTTTAATATTGTCTAAAAAAAAAACATTAATTTAGATAATCTTCCTGCACCAGCAGCAGATGTTTATTTTGCTTGTACCTCTAAAAAAAAAAAAGTTCTGATAACCTATCAGTGCTAAGAAACAAATGAATTCCATTGAACACATAGGTACAGTCCTGATTGTAACATTGGTGAATTCCCCAGATCGTCCAGTGCAACTACCATTATTTAACCTTTAGATATTCCATCCTTGTCCTTTTCCTCCTCCCTTGCCCCTTATTCTATTTCACTCTCCTTTTGTTTCCACATCACACCATGTGTTGTGCAACAGGCCCTGGCCAGAGGTCTGGTTTTCTGTTGCTATAGTGTAACAAGGAGAACTGTCACAAAGTGTTTGGGTGAAATTTGTCCTTCCTCTGTGAAACAGAGGCCTCCTCCTCCTCCTCCTCCTCTGCCGCCGCCGCTGCCTCCTCCTCCTCCTCCTCCTCCTCCTCCTCCACTCCGAAGTCTCTTTGGTTTTGACTCATGGACTGCTGTTTTTGCATATAAAAAATAGAATCATTCATCTATAATACAAAATTAACTTCAAATCAAAAGTAAATAATACACATGTTGCTTTAGAGTCTGATTGAGGTAACATCTTTAGTCCGTCCTATAAAATATTGAATCATACTTACAATAAAAACATGTTTTAAAAGTAAACATCTCTCCATCCATCAATCTTCTCCCGCTTCTTACATTAGGGTCACGGTGGAGCCGGTGCTTATCTCCCTGGACAGGTTTCCAGTCTGTCACAGGGTTGTTTTTAAAACATATTACATAAAACATATACTGTAGGTACAATAAAACCATGAAATTTATAAGCTTTATGAACTTACTAAGGGAAATAAACCTCTTATTGTTAGGAACTACTTAGCTCTTACTTTTATGCCTCACATTTCTTAAATCTCACACATTGAATGTTTGAAGCCTATTAATACCAAAAAATTCTTTTACTCTGAGCTAAATTTAACAAAGTTTCACTACTGTTGGCTCCATGATCTTGCAGCTATATGTTTTGTTAAACAATAAACCTTTGAGACGGGTTAACCAATAAAAGTAGCTCATTGGATACATATTCCTTGTCTTACATCAATGTCATGTGTTTAGTCCTGGTTACATTGCATATAGCATGCATCAGCAGCTACTGCCCATTTGCTTCTTTTTGCTCAGCATTATCTGTTCCTTTTTCCTTTTCTCCTTTTTCCATTAGAATCAGACCTAAAGAAACAGCTGTTCTGCTTAGCAAGTCTTTGTTGGCATGTGGTGTCTGGCTTGATTGAGGAAACAGAAATGCAAACGCCATAAAAAATTGTGAACTTTATTTTCAATCGACCTCAACTATTTCATTGTTCTTTTTTTTTTCTTTGTGTAGATCCAAAATGTTCAAATAATAACTTATAAAGATAATAGTGTAGTTATTAAGTTAATATAAGATGGCAATAACCATTGTTTTATTTCTATAATTGTTGTTGTATTGACCAGAGATTTCTATTGTGTTTTGTTATTTTTATTTGGACAGTAATTAAAAGAATAAAGTATAAAAGTCAAAAGTAAAAAAAATAATAATAATAATAATTAGAAAAGTAACAATGAAGGCTTGTGGCAAAGTTAAAATATTAGAACCTTATTGAGCATAATTTTACAGTGAGGCACTAATTCCCCAAAACCTTATGTAGCAGAAGTCAATAGCTCTCATATAGCTATAGGTCACTATGTGATAGTAGTGTACGGGGTGGGGGGGCATGAATGTTTTTTGTGGTGACTTGAATTATCTCTTTTCCTACCAAAATATCGAAAATATGTTGTGTGGTAGTTGATCATTTTTGGCTTTATGCTGTATCGTGTGCCTGGCTGTGTGTTTACTGTACGGGCCCGCCTTTTACAGCTGCTTTTTCTATCTCTGCGTCTGTCTCCTTGAACCCCAGTCAGCCTCAGCAGATGGCCGCTCACACTGAGCCTGGTTCTGCTGGAGGTTTCTTCCTGTTAAAAGGGAGTATCCAATCTCAGTTCCAACCTACTAAATGTGAAACTTGTGATGTGTTATATTTATGAAAGATGAGCGTTGTTATTTCATTCTTGA